TTTTAAATGGGCAATTATGTGCTTTGGTTTCAAAAAAGAAGTTTAAAACCACACCCTTGCTTTAGGAAGGTAGTGTGATCAGAGGGGTATCTAGTCAAGATACTGTAACAGCTAGTTTTGTCTAAAGTGAGGTGGTGGTCTGAGACTGAGAGCTCCATCAACAGCCCAACCTGTTTGTCCTCCAAATCTACCTAACCCTGAATGTCAGATTTTCTCTCCTCAGTCTGAAAAAACCTACAAGGTGCTCACTTGCAGATTCTAGCCTGCTCAAGCTGCAGGTGTCCTGCTCATTGCAGGGCAGTAGGGATAGATCTTTACGGATCCCTTCCAATTCAAATGATTCTATGATTCATTGCACACCGGATGCCCTAGCTCTTTAGTAGGGAAGGCATTATGCATAGCTCGAGTTAAAACTAAGTTTAGAAGAAATATAAACAGCTAAACTTGCTGCAGGGGGCTGGAACTAGATGATCCAGCTCTCCAATCCAAACCATTCCGTGATTATATGAAAACTGTCACCAAGTTCCTCAGCATCAGCAATCTGGATCTGCACTTGCAGAAGAGGCTTAATGAGTCAGAACTGACCCCTGAATGTGCTCAAGCCACAGAAACAAAACACTACGTGTCTTCAGATGGGGCTACGTTTTTTTCTGCTACCCACACAGGAAAACGTGGGTTGCTTCAGTGGGAAGAACAGATTGTCTATTCCCTGTCCCTTACAAACAGAAAAAACTGGAGGAAACCCCTAAATAAAGGCACATGTGATTTCACTCAAAATTGCTTCCTGTTTAAAAATATACAAGCTTTCCAAAAAAAAAAAAAGAAAGGCCAAATAAGCTCTTTCAGAATCAAAGTTAAAAGGCAGCCAACTATATTGGAGGAGTTAAAAAACAACCACAACTGTAACTCCAGAAAATGTCAGGTAGCCTGTGTGAAGCTTAGGGGCAGCACAGATGCCTTTTGGTGTGCCACAGAAGCAATAAATGAGGAAAATAAGTCAAGAGTCCTGCTCACCCGAACTGTTTCAGGATTCCAGGAAGCATTTCAGCCAGCTGATCCATGGAAGGATATATGTACCTACAACAAATACATGTCTGTGAGTTCCTATGCCACACTCAGTACAGTAGGCTGCTGTATTTAGGGAAAAAGTGGTCACTGCAGATTAAATAACAAATGTGTCCATTGCCAGGTCACGGTCAGCATGCACTGAATTTAAATCAGGAGCAAGTACAATTAAGTGATTTCACAGGGATATGAGCATACTCAGTATGGTACTTTATGTGAGTTACAGGATGAAAGATGTCTGCTCCAGCTGAGAGCAAAACAGAGCACAGTAAATCTCTTCCAAAAAGCAAGTCAACACTTAAAACCTATAAAGTATTTGAACTTCAGAGGTGAGTTTCCAACCACATTCACCACATTTGTACTTCTGGTTCACCACAAAAAGGTTCCCCCATGTCACAAAAATCAGACTACTGCAGTGTGATCTAGATCTTTGGCAAATATTTACCTGTATGTTTTCAAGGATGTACATTTTTACAGCAATAAAATGAAGAAAACTTTCTATTAATACTGATGGAGAAATTGAAGCCAAAGGAAAGGCTGTGAAGCTGCAGAAAAAGTTTGACAGAAACAGCTCTATGTTAATGCTTTTGTTCTTCTGCTTCTGCATGACAATAGAATTCTAAAAGGAGAAATTTTTTATCAAAATCTCTACTGAGCAGCAAGTGGAAAAAAGTCCATCCTAAGAAGCTGGGGAACATAGTTCAGCTTCTTCTGCTGCCATCACCATGATGTTAAGCAGTGGTCTTCACTAGCAGAGACCATGACAGTTGTGCAGTTGACAACTCAGACGTGTTAATGCCTGTTTAGGACATGAAGGTTAAGACACTTAAAAGCTTTTGATTCAAACAAACACAAACTGAAGTGACTGAAATAGCTTTGTCACCTGCTTGAGTAGACAACTGGGCCATTGCACTTAACTCTGCTCAGAACATGGCCCATGATGACCTCCTCAGCCAGACAAGCTTAAAATTTAAGAAGGTATGGGTCACACAATCAGGTACGTACAAGCTCCTTAATACCCAATTCTTACAGAACAACTGTCTCTTGACGTGTCCCCCACCTCATAATGTTGGCTACTCTCCTTCTCAACCAAGCTGAGTCCCCTCCTAGGGGCATCTTCAGGCAAACCCAGCTCATTTCACTAAATGGGTCAAGCATTTTGGCAAAGCCAATACTCAAAACTCACAAGTTTCCAAGAGTTACAACATCATATATGTTACATGGTCAAGAGCATGCAGTAATTTATGATATCCCATGGGTTACATAACTTTGTTACTGAGCAACTAGTTTAAATTTCCAGGAAGCTTACTTTATCTATTTATCAACAACTACCATGCAGACATTTCCTAGAAACTATAGACTTAGGAAAGAAGTGATACAGTGGTGAATGACTGTGTTGTTTATAGTAACAACTTTGTTTTGTATTTGCATGCAGGATATCATTACAAAACAAGGTAGCCCAATACTTAAACTGGCAGATATAAACATCTGTCGAGGAACTGCTTTACAAGCAGTGTGGTTATTGGCAATAAAACACAAAGTTACAGCCCTGAAGTTTACTGTGAACTGGCAAAACTCAACAGAGCTATGGAAACTTAAATAGAAATTGTCAGCATTCAAAGAAATACTACTTTTCTTTCTGCAATTGCTCTTCAGTTGAATTGCAGATAGAGGCTCTTTTTCCTGACAAGAGATAACTCTGAAAGCAGAGGCTGTTTTCCTCATAACTCACCCAGCTTGGAAAGATGGTGCCCCATCCTGCTGACCAGGTGCATCCACGTGGCAAACTGCAAAGTGCTGGGTGATTTCCTGCATATCCTCAAAGTTGAAGAGAGGATTGAAGCAAGTTTTATCTTGAAAATGAAAACATGAAATAATTTTGCTGAGATTAAATGGTTTCATTAGTAAATCTGCATCTCTAATAAAATCATTTGTTTATTAATGTTACCTCTGCTGAAACCTGGACTGCAGATTAATGAAAAGTTCCTTCCACCAGCTAAGAAAAAGTGACAATCCTTTATTTCTAAGGAAGAATAGGGAAGTCCTGCTACAAAGCAACCTGTGCTTTGTACAAATTTGTATTAACTCCCTGAAGCAAAAAAATAAAAGTTCTCTCCTCATGGCCAGCTAGCATTTATCCACATTATTCTGGTCCTTTCCAGAAATACTGGCTTGGTACACCAAAATCAAGAAAATGTTCCTTATGCAAAAGTAAAACAGTCATAAAGTGTCATCAGGAAAATTTATACAGAGTTTTGGCTTAGGTAAAATTATCCATTTACTTGTCCAGCCATTTTTCTTTGGATTATGTCAAAACAGATGGAGCAAAAGGTATCCAGCTCTGAGATCGTGACTTGTGTTTCTGCCCAAGTATTACAAGATAAACATTAATTTGTGTCTCTCACAGCAGGCAATTCAAGACAAAAGTGTCCTTTTGAGATATTGAATGCTGCAGGCCCCCAGCTCTGAGATGATTTGATTTCTGATGTTGAACAAATATTAGTGTGGGGAGAAGGTTAGCATGTTCTCCTCTTGGAGTGGAAAGCAGGAATTCTGTAGCACCACCTCTGATATGCACAGAAAATGACTCAGCATCTGTGTGTGTTTCTGAATGTCCTCTTACTGCACAACATGCAAAAAAATCACTAGAAAATATACAATATTTTCAGCTAAAATCCAACTTTAGGAGAATATGCAAGATAGGCATAAAGCTTTCTCCCTTCTCCTTTAAAAGGAAAGCTTATTCATCATAAAGATAATTTTTTTTTATCTCTAGAAAGAAAGAAAAAAGTTTTATTCAAAGATGAGACCCAGATTAAACTCTGCCCTGACCCACTAACAACCCAAAATAAAATAAGGCAGTGCTACTAAATACAGTAATCTCACTTCTCACAGAAGTGAGTAATCTCACTTCTGCCTCTCCACCAAAAGCCAGACATTAAAGATTTGCAGCTGTTTTTAGTTTTAAAACTGATAGCTTTCTAACAAACAGCAAATGGTGTGAATCAGAGTACTAGTGAGAAGAATGGACCAACAGATCTGGACATCTAGCTCATTATATTCTTGAATATGACAAGATAAGACAGAAGGCACTTGTCAAAGTTGCTTTCTTAACACAATGCCAGCTTTCATTTCATCATTTTGATTTGGCACACCATTCATACAAACCCACAGAAGTGTAAACTGGTTTCAGACAGGAACCTACAAGCCAAAGCAACAGCAGTGTTCTTGTCAATTCTGCTTTCAGCCTCAGCCTTCCTCTGCAGATGTTACAGCATTTACACATATAGTGTAACAGGACATCCTTTTGCCCATTTAAGTGAAATATTCCAATTACTTTCTTTGGGAGCATGTAAATCTGAGAGTTAAACTTGCCAGAAGAGAAAAATTAAGGTAGGCACAAAGGCTGGTACCTTCTATGAGGATGTAGTAGACACAAGTGTGCAAGGACCTGGGAAGCATTTCCTAACCATCATGGATCCCACACTTTTGACTACAGCTATAGCTTTAATCAACCAGGCCATCACTATGCAATAAAATATAAAGCCTACTTACGATTCAACCCAATGTCGTGGTACGTGAGGATAGCAGGTCTGTTCCCTCTGGGTGTCCCACACATGGTGACATGGACCATGCCGTGCATGGTCTCCACATCTTGTTCCTGACAAAGAACAAGATGAAACTGTCAGATTGTGGAAGGGCTCTACTTAACACCCTTGTGTTGGCAGCCATGACCACGAATACAGCTCCTGCCCTATCTCAGGGCTGTCCACAGCCTCTCTGGCCCCAGGACCTCTGCAACTCCCATGCCAACACATTCCATGCCTCCCCATGGTGCAGGCTCTTTGCTAATGTTTTACACACAGCTGTCATCGATTGCTGTTGACAGCCAATGACAGAAGCACTCAAGCTGCTAGCTCTAAGTAGATGCTGAGGAAATGGTTTTTGACCACAACAGTCAGTGTTTAAAAAAAAAAAAAAAAAAAAAAAAAAAAAAAAAAAAAAAAAAAAAAAAAAGCTGTAAAAAGAAAACAAAAAAGGAGAGACAAAACTAAAAAAAAAATAAGGTGAAAAAAAATTTTTTTAAATGTAGTTTGGGGCAAAGATGCCTAAAATAACCTAAGATGCCTAATGGCTCACAAGCACGGCCATTTGCAATGGTGCCAGTTTCCAAAACACTTCTGTTTTCTAGGAAAATGATCGTAACTGAGCAAATAGCTAATGTTCCCCTAAAAAGCACTCCATTAATTGGCTTAATTCACCATAAACACTTATCACACTGCAGGACCTTGCGATTACAGCAGCTTTCTGCAGTAAATATGGCAGCTACATGTTGGCTTTATGGTTTTCTATTGCTTAAATCTAAGCACAAACTCAACTGAATGAAATTTGCAAGACAGTAATATGGCAACAACAATGTTGTGGTGATTATCACAGAAACAAGCTTAAACAACCCATTGCTATTATCTGACATAATTGGATTTTGTACTATTTAATGAGTTTAAAACACCTTTGTTATCAAATCAGAGACCCCTTCATTACCATCTCATTTGCTAGATGTCTACATTGGATAAATGAAACTTAGTTTACACCAACGTCCTCAACGTATGGAACAGTTTTTGTTTCTTTCACACTTGCACTTAAGATAGACATAAACAATTTGTTAGCCTGACAATGTATGTAAGGGGAATTACAGAACAACAGTTATTTTCTATCTACAGTTACTCTCATGGAATCAAAGCAGTATGCAGTTAGTGACCAGCTTTAATATTTCATAAGAATATTTTCTGCATAGGATACAGACATCCATGTCATTCAGTACAGCATACTGCTCCTGCCTGGCTTTATTTACTCTTTGCAACAATGCCCAGAGGCAAAATCCAAGTTAAATTAAATTAAACCTACTACAAATTATGCTGTAGAAATTAGGAGCATACAGCTCCAGCAGAAACCTTTCCAGAGCAAAATCCAGAAGCTTCTGAGATCTGATGAATTAATTCAATCTAAATAACGGCTCAGTAATTTCATATGTCAAATTTACTATGCGTTTTGTTGAACACAAGGATGCTAAGCAGCACCATTCTGCATTTCACCTATTTTCCTTGCAATTTACATCAGCTATAATCACACCAACAAATCAAGACCACCCCCTGCACCCAAATACAAGGAGAGCCTCTCTGCTGTCTGAACTACACTACACTGAAACACCACTTTTCAGCTTTTCTGTTCCCCTTAGAGGTTATTTCCTCTGCATACTCACTGCATTATTTAGCAGGTATGCTGTGTCTTCCACATCCAGTACCATCTTTAGGCAAAACAGGGTGATAAATCCAGCAAGCAGAGAGAGGACAGGAGCTGGTTCCTACTTTCCCCAAGTAGGAAACTGGGTTATATGGAGAGGCTGCTTTTCTGCATAGGCTTATGACACCCACAGTGCCCAGCCGGAAAACCCAGAACAGACTAACTCAGGAGGACGTCATTCTTAAATAGGATTTGAGTCAGGTTTGACCAGGAGAAGTGCTTATTCTGTAGAGCTCAGACATCAAAGATGAACTCTGTCACACAATGTACCAGTTGCCAACTTTCAAACCTGGGAACTAGTGATTAGCATAGTATTTTCTGGTGATGTTTCAATTAGGCTTTGGTAAATATAGATTAATTTGAGGTGCTGACCCACTCCAAACAGTTCTACATGAAATTAGGAGCAAGTTCTTTACTATAAGGCAAGAATAAAGCTTTCATGAAGAACAAAAATAAATTACAAACTTCATGTAAATGAGAATGATTCTGCACAGCAACGCAACAATGTCTGACTTTTTAAGTGTTAAAAGTCTTGTATTTTCCAAAGATCATAAACAACACTTAGTCTAAAATATTTCAGTATCACTCACCTGAAAATTAAATTTTACTTTTAGCAAAAGTAGAGTGTTGTAGGTCTATTAATTATTTAATTATACAGAGGAGAGATTTGCAATAGTAAGAGATAGAACTTAACTACAATAGTAATTAATATTTTCCACATTCTGCCTTCCTTCTGCATTTAGATTATTCTCAATAGAGGGCATAAGAATTGATAGGTTGGGAATTTTAGCACCAGTAGTGAGTAACACACCTTCATGTGAAAGATAGTCTCCTTTTTCAGTTAGAGAACAACAGCATTCTCTATCACCAGGTTTTATCACTAGACCTTCTCAACAATAGCACTTAAGAGCCCAGAACACTTTCCTAGGAGAGACCACCTTTCAAGCCTTAGCTTCTTTATCCTTTGTGCAGGATAGAAAAAATCTGTTTGTGACAAAGCCAGACACTTGAACCAGCCCACCCCACTGACCTCCACTGCTAATTATTCTCAACTGGAATCCTGAGTCTAGTTCAAACTCAGTGTCAACTAAAAATAGTTCAGAGGTGATGGGAGACCACACATCTAATTACTGGCAAAAGTCACCATCAGTTCAACTATTAGTTTAATTCCTCACTATCTTCACAATAAGGCTCTTGCGATGCAATAGTAATAGTGTTGCACTGTCCTCCATTAGTGTTAATTCTTAAGGAAAAATGGCCCAAATTTTCTGCTAAAAAACAATTTAAACTTGTTTCTTTAGTGATGCCAAGCCAAAAACTCAACAGCCCTGCTGATCCTATTAAAGATCAAGAGATTTGTCTACGTGATGTCGGCATGGATGTTTTCAAAAAGCAGCGCACTGAAAACAGATGGCAGCACACCCCAATCAACGTCAACATTGTAGTAAGAGGCTCTTCAACCAACTGATTTGTATTAAAACACTATCTTAGAAAAACATCCAAGGTACACTAATCCGATAGAAGGATAAAGACAAGCATGCCATCTGTTCACATCTCACTTTAACAGAGGTGCAGTCTTTCTTTAGTGCTCTAAAATATACACAAAAAATACCTACGATACACGCAATTTAAGACAGACTATCTGGGTTTAAAGGGAGTTGTTCCCTTCTATGGGAGATTTTCTTTTTCTCTGGGTCAAAATGATATTTTTTGACATGCTGTTATGGGTCTATAAGAGGGAGGCAACACAGTAACACAGTTCATTTACTCCTTCCTTTCTCTATCCCGGCAGATAAACACATAGAATGAGCAATATGTTTATGAACAGGTTTTTTTTTGTTTGTTTGTTTGTTTGTTTTCTGAATATGCAACCAAACCATCTGTGCTATCTAAAAGGGAAAACTATGGAGACATTGCCCACTTTGCAAAAAACAACGCATTTTGTATTTTAAGTAAAATATTATCTTCCACCAAGATTATTTTAAGGCTTTCAGATATACTTAGTTCCCAATTGTTGTCTCATGCTTTTATTTAATTTATATTATATCTTACTAATAAAATACATCTCTCTTACCTTATCTCAGAATTGAGGGAAAATCTTCAGACCTCTTTAAAAAATTGCTCTGAGACAGTGTATTTTAAGTACATATTACTTAAGAAAGTTAATATACTAATACCTGCTTATGCTATTTTTCACTTTTTCCCTTCATATGTTGCAGATGAAAAGCATTTAAGCTATTAATACAGTATTGCAATGTTATGTTTCAAATCCTCCTTACCCTACTTCAGTTATTTTTCCCTTTTCTTCTTCTAAACTAAAATAATTATTTCAATTCATCCTCTGTTATGCTAAAAACCCGATGCCCACTTTTTCCCCTTTCGCTTTTCCTTCTTCTTCATCTTTTTTTTTTTCTTTTTTATTGGGACATCTATTTGAAATTAGCAGTACTACACTTCCCCAGTTCAGGTTGTGAGCTGGGTGCTTAAAGTATTGTGGACTTTTAGATTTAAAACAAGTGATTCTGCTAAGGTGGAATTTGCACCATTTTTCAGCTTGCTTCTATATGTACCTGTTACACAAGTAACAAAAACTTTGGTACAGGACTGAAGCTGATGATTGTGATAGTTCCTCCCTGGGGATTCTTCCTAGTCCAGACAGCACTGAGTGACAGTGCTCTGCAAAAGCACAAAAACTCAACTGTCTCCTACACTATCCTTCATAGACCTAAAAGGAAACCCTCATCTAACAAACTGCAAAGGCCTCAATGCACTCCATCACTCATAATGCTGGTTTGTCTCCCATTGCATCCATGGTGGCTCATTCCCTCTCCCCAGGCAAGAAAAAGGGATTCTTGCATGCTTGTAAATTTTCACGCCATGAGCCCTGAATTACACAGGACAAGCTCTTCTCTGCCACCTACAGCTTCTGCACAGCTCAGAAAGTTTTGCTTTGTTACTGAGAAAGCAGTGCTCCGGCAGACTGCTCATTTCTGAAGTATAGAGCCACAGGAATGTATACAGCAGCAGGGAGACAGTTTTCCCTGGACTCCAATGTTAACAGGTAAAAGAATAGGCCAATGCACTCAACTGCAAATATAATAAAAGCACGTTGGGCATTCAGCCAACATAAAGCAGCACAGGGCACACTGCCCTGCACCAACTTATCTTGAACTGTGCTAAAACAGGTTTGGTGAGGGAACAGTCACCTTCTTGGGAGGCATAACTTAACTTATATCTTCAGGTATGCACCACAGACAGAAATACAGACAGTATGGAGTGGTGGGAGTTCAGAGTCGTCAGTTCTTCCATTCAACTCAGGTCTTGGCCAACTCCCAGTAACTCACAGAATCATTTAATCATTGGATATACTGAGTTGGAACAAACCCATAAGGATCATCAAGTCCAACTCCATTTAGGCCTTTTCTCCAGAGAATAACCACACACAGATCTTGCAATTTGGAGGATGATATTCTGCTATATAGTGGGTCACTTCAAAAATGGAAAGTTTGTCAAAAACAGCCTGTGAAGTAAGAGCTTCTTTCCAAATCTGAGTAGCTAGATGAAATTTCTTCTTGGAACAAATACACATCATGGGCAGCCACTACTTTTCAGTGATGACAGAAATGAAGTTATTAACTGAACACTGTATAAACTGTCTGTGAAAAAGGACAGTGATATAGAGAACTGTCAAATCCCTATACAGACACATGGGCACCAAAGAAGTATCCTGCTGAGTCCTGGGATCCTTTCTTAGCTAGATGCCTCCTTTTCCTAAACATGCTTATGGGACAGGTCACACACTAAGGGCACATGTGAGCTTCATTGTCAGCTCTGAGTGACCTGGATCTTCCAGAACCTCTTGAATAAATTAAGTCATCGAGGTTCTCAAAACAGCTTCAAACCATCTTTCTTCACAGATCAACCACAAAGGAACTTGAAGATGCATAGGTAGGATTCTTGTGGTTTTAAGTACCAAAGCAAAGTCTCCTTTCCAGCAGCAGTTCTTAAAACAAGGGATTGAGGTTGTTTTCCCACATTTTGCTTCCTTGAACTAGAACAATTGAAGATTAAAGTCTAAGAAAGGAACATCATTAAAAAAAGAAAGAGATGGCAGAACAGGGCTAAATGACAAGAACCACTGGCCTGGATTAGTGACAGTTAATCCAAAACATGGGAAAAATCCAACAAAATGGCTTAGAGAATTTGATCTTGCAAGTTAAAAACCTATATATACACACTGTTTACAAGCCAAGCAAATTTATTCCAAGAATAGAAATAAAATATGGGTCACCTCATGATTTTTAATCAAAATGGTGCAGTATTCCTATTCACAGATTTAATCTGGGATTCAGATTTATTTAAAACAAGTGGTCATTCTTGGCTCAAACAACAAGCTTCTCCCATGCTGTGCACAGACCTGTAGAAAGTCTGATGATGAGAAGTTTAACTTATATCTATCAAGACTTCAGGCAGTGGATTTCAACATTAGAAAGAGTGAAGGAGAAGATGTGGGACTAATATGAACTACATTCTTGCTAAAAAATTAAGAGCTGCTGAAAGAGGGTGAGTTGTTTGTAATAACTGGTTTCCAGGGAGGTGACAGCAACGTTTCTGCTGGATTTCTAACCAATTTGCAAAGCACTTAATAAAATATAAAGAAGTGAAAACAAAGTGCAAGATGTTGCAGAATTCAACAGGATTATTTTTCAAGAGCCTCCTCTTGCACATACAAGAGACTAAAAAAACTCAATAGCTTCCCTTATTCCTTCATGATCTACCTCTCTCATTAAACGTCTTTGATACAAACAAGACACCTGGCAAGCCTCAGTCTCTGACTCATACTCCTTGTCCTCAGCAATGGGAATGCACTGCTCACTCTTTTTGTTGAGGCAGGTGCACACTCACTGTTCTCTCTCCCAGTCCAACCCAACCTGACTCCAGCACTGGTTTCCTTAGTTGTAGCTTAAGAGCCATCAAGAACAAAATTCAGTCATAACAGCACATGGAGATCAAATCATTCAAAAGAGGAGGAAAGAGAATTACAAAGTCACCTCTCAAACACACAACACATGAGAAAAATGGAAAGGCACCGTTGGACCTGGCAGTATACTTCATGCACAATTGTGTGCAGGGTGTAAATAAATATATGGAAAGTGCCATCACACTTCGTACAGATAAAATTGATTGCTTACTGCCTTCCCCTGCTTCCCAGGCTTCACAAATATTCTGGAAACTTTTAATGGCATAATGGGTTACACCAAGTGGGACATTTCCTCAGAGGAAATGCACACACACTGCTAATGAAAGGAAATTAATTGGGGAAACTGCATGTTCATGTGGGAGGAGTGCATTTTGCTTTTGCTACCACAGCTGAAGGATCTTTCTTTTAGCAAAAACAGAGCTTCTTGCAACTCATTCTTTTGGATGATTTTTTCCCAGCTTTAGGTTGAAAAGACCTCCTGCAGTCCCCTTCACAAAATAGTGTAAGAGCCCCATTCAGGCTCTTTCTCACAACTACAGCATTTTTTGTGAGCAGTCACTCATTTCTGATCCTATTTCTTTGTTTTCCCTTTTACTAAAGAAAAAAAGAAAAACAACAGAAGTATAGCTTCACTGACCTGAACATCGAAGTCTGGAAGGAGGCGAGTGATAGCCTGTGAAGAGATAATAGGATATTAAGTCAGGTAACTTTTGCAGTTAAAACTTCTGCACTTGTATGTGTACTGAGATACATGTTCTGACTCACTGGTTCTCCAGTGGAGAGCTCTTTCCCGTTTCCTTCATTTCTTGAATATTGCCGAATGTCTAAATGTTCACTCCTATGTCTAGCCATTGCTATTACTGACAAGCTCCTCTGCATCTCCTACATTAACATCAGAAAAAGATAAGGTGACATCCTTCTCATCTCCATAACCTCAAAAGAAGACACATCTTCAAGACATTGCTAGCTATTAGAAAACTTGGAAGAAGTCAGTTACATTGAGGGAGATGCACAGAGTAGGAAGAGCAGTCAAGCTGGCACTTGTTACACTGCAGTGTGACAGGGAAGTCAAAGCTTGAGAGAGAAGTACAGAAATAAAAAGCAAAGTTTAGGAGCCTGACAAGGAGATCATGCAGTCCTAAAATCCCTTATAAATCATTTAAATGAAGAATAGAAGATACCAGAAGTAATACAACTCTGTCTTGGGTAATACCATCTAGAGGATGGACTTCTAAACTTTGCAGTCCATACCACAATTGTGATGTAATGCTAAAGCTGTGATCTTTAGGTAATTAAGGAGTGTGATGTGCATGCAGACAGGTGTGTGAAGAGCTGATGAATTTGTGGAAATCGATTTACACCAGCCTGAGTCCAAGATTTAAAGTTCACTCTTTACAGACTATGTTTTTAACCTTAGACAATCTTTTGATCTGTACTATTGGACTCATGGCTTTTTAAACATAGTAATTTCAAACACTCGTGTTTCCAAGTGGTCTATAGATTGAGGGTGCATGTAGATACAGGTGTATGAAATAGAAACATCTAGACAGTGTATGAAATAGGGCCCCATCACCACTCAGGAATGAAGAATTGGCTGTAGAAAGAAGCCTAGTACACAGTAAGCCACAATTAGACTTCAGAGCATCGCTCACTCAATGCCAATCTCCACCACTAACCCTAGCATATGCTGAGTGTCCTCTGAGGCAATCATTTTTCCACTTTCTCTAAACACTATAAAAAACCTTCCTCCATTTTTGATAAGAATAGCCTAACAGGTGATCAAACCAGATTAACTCTGCTACTTTCCCCACATTGATGAAAATTAAGGCAACTGTGAATAAAAGCACACAAGGCTCCTTGTCAAGATTAGCAAATTTTCATCTACATGCTGCAGAAATCCTGGAAGTTCTTCAGTGTAAGACATTTCTGAACTCTGAAGCAGAAACATTTCAGTAACCAGAGAACTTCTGTTTCGTTTTGCTGCTATTGAACAACATTGGCATTAGAAAAGAATCTTAGTTCCTGAAAGCCCTGCTTTCATGCAATGTCCTTGGCACAGGAACTGTGTTTAAATTTTCTCTAGACATTTCATTACATTTGTAAGTGGAAATAATTTCTTGAAGTGTTTACTCAAAAAGAAGTAGAGAATAAAAAATGAAAGTAGCAAATAAAGCAATGAGGAATGTCCGTGTAGAAAACTAGAAGAAAATGTCACCATGTGTCAAGAATGACAATCACTGGGGAAAGTGAAAGAAAAATCTTAGCCTTGATTCAAGAAACAAAGCAGCAAGTTTGTTTGAATATTCCAATGAATTAATTGCAATGAACATGCACAGGGTAGGAGCACCATTGATCAGTGACAGACACTGACCCTAGATGCTGTGGGAAGAGATTTGGAGAAAAATAGTGCAAAAACAAATGCAAAGAAGCACAACAGAGTTAAGCAAACAAAACAAAAGGCTGAAAATGGTTTTATGCTGCAGTCATAGGGCAACCTGAGCAGACACAATGGGGCAGTCATACCTTTGGACCCAGAACTATCAAGAGCAACGTAAAGACTCCCTCTGCATATCTGCTCCTCCATGAAAGGCAGAGGATAGAGCAAAGTTTGAAACTCTGCACTGAAAAGTCTATAGGAATAGGTAGATCTACTTGAGTTTGTCCAATTGGAACTGTTCAAAATAAACCCAGAACTGTAACTATTCAGGAAAAATATATATATATATATATGTGTTCACAATAGATCAGAATTAAAGAAGCACAAAACCAGAGCAATAATTAAAACTCAATTTTGCCTTATTAACAAAAACCATTATTATTGCACCACCAGTTTCTCATGTGTCTTTCCATACAGCTTGTTAGAATTAAGAATACATGCACAGTCGCGAGAGGAATCCTGAAAAAAGATACAAAAGCTTTAAAAATGTTTAAGATAATTACCTCCTCCTTCTCCACCAGAGGTTTCACCTCTGCAAGGTGAGCATCCTGGAACTCTGTTGACATGGTCAGTAGCTGATATCTGTGAAGATGAAGAAATATTTGTTTTCAGTTTGCATCAAAGATTAAATACAGAGGCAAATAAAGGTCCTCCCCCTCCACCACCCCCAATGATCTGATGTCTCAGGTTATATTTTAACACAGCTTTGCAAGAGGGTTATGAATCTCCTGTAAAACATCTCCTGATTTATTTATGTACACACACCCATACAACACGAGATTAAAGAAATGTTAAGGCTGTGAGATCAAAACAAAGGTTTGGCAGCTTCAGAACAGAGGATGCTGAAGGAAGTAAGGCAAGGACCAGCACAACTGGAGTTGGACTCGATGATCCTTATGGGTCCCTTACAACTCAGGGTATTAAATGATTCTTGCAGTATTCAATCACATGAAAACTCTCATTTCACATGTGAAAGGAGGCATAACCTAATCTACACAAACATCTTCTCTTGAAGTTAGATTAAATATTCTTTCTGTTTACATAAAGGCTCCCTCTCCAGGATCTCTGCTTTAAACAAACTAAATTAGATGCTCACAGGTACCATTTTACTCTTTTACCAAGAGTAAAATTGAAACAGGAACACCTTCTTTGATTTGAACAACTCAAGCATTACCATGCACCAAGTAAAACATGCCTTTAATTGTACACCAATGCAGCTTATGCAATAAAAAGTTTCAGAACTATCATAGTAGGGAAGAAGATTGCTGCATTCTGCTCTAGTAAAGGCACAGCATCACACTGCCCAACCTCATTGGGCACACGGATTGGAAACAGCTGCTGGATCCCCAGAGCATGAGTGCTGAGACAAGATGTACAGCAGATCTTTCTGCAGGTGCAACACACTGTCTGCATACTGACCAAGCTGTACTTCACTTTGGTGAATAGATTAGTCCAAACCGGGAGCTAGAAAACAGAATATTTCATTCTCTCCATGGAGACAAAGTGCCAGGGGTTGCTCCCTCTGAAGCCCTGATGAGTGACCACAGCAGGAAGCTATGAAATGGCAAACACTGATTAAGTAAGATAATGTCAAATAAATGCTGGCATTTATATATATGTGTAAATGACTTCAGATTTTAGGAAACCTTCTTGGAAGCTATACAGCTGGATGGAAATTTTGGCAGAGTGGATTTGAAGTTTAGAGAAGTGCTTCGTGGGTATACAACTTCACAACTCGAGTCATGGGAGCAAAAGCAGAATTGTTATATAGAATCAAAGAACCATTTATGTTGGCAGGGACTTATAAGGTCACTCAGACTAGCTCCCCTGCAATGAACAGGCACACCTACAGGTTGCTGGGAGCCCCATCCAGCCTGACTTGAATGTCTCTGGGGATGGGGCATCTACTACCTCTCTGGGCAACCTGTGCCAATGTTTCACTACACTTACTATATATATATATATTTCAGTCTAAACCTCCTGTTCTTGTTTCCCATTCCCAGTAATTTGTAATCCAAGTTTACAAGAAGATACCAAAGCTACTTAAGCAGTCAGAATAGTTAAAACAGTTAATTCCCCAGCCGTCACTCTAACTCACCCTCTTTCTCCAGTTTTTTCTGTAAAGATCTTAATCGTTAAGAACAAGCAATATCAAGTTTGCCAAGCAACTGAAAGTGACGTTTTAGAAACAATTACATATTTTTGAAATTACAGCCATCTGTGCAATGTGCCATTCTACACAGTTAGCAACTCTGTGCGGCAGAAAAGGAAAATAAAAGCTGAAAATATTTACATGCAATCTGGAAGGCTAGAAATACAAGGGATTTTCCATGTTTTCCCTATACAGGAGGAAAGTAAGAAGCCAGGCTCCCTGCAGTTTTCCAGTAAGTGGCTCAGGGAACAAAGCCACATCTAGCACTCGTGGAAGAAAGTTGTTTACCCAGGACAGCTTTGGGTTTTCAGGGAGTCAGAGCATTGACTACAAATGACCAAAAATCTGTGCCAAAAAGAACATGGATGTCTTTTATAGCCTTAAAAAACAATCCTGTTTTCATAATAGTTCAAAGTTGTTGCTTTATGTTTCCGAAAGAACCAACATTAGGAAGTGCTGACCAGCAGATTACACTACTGCCATCAAGTCTGCTGAACAAAAGCCCAATGTGCACCACGTTCTCACTTTTGGAATGATACCAGGCCTTCAAGCTACATTATGTTTTCAAATAGACATTTACAAGCTCTGGGTTCCCCCTGTCTGCACCAGGGATACCTGAAACATTCCAACTAAAGAACAGCCATGTGATAAGCTGACACAACAACACATTTTTTCTTCCTGAGAGCTGGCAAACAAAGCCCTGCTATCTGACACTACTGTAAAAAGCTTCTAATTTTCCAAAGAGAAAGATGCTGGATTGCACAGAGGTTTTAAAAATCTCTAAAAAGGTGCTTTGTGCTCCACTCTTATGTGACAGGGTAGCTTGAAGCTACTGTAACTGCATAACTTTCCTAAATAACCAGACAAGCATTCTTTTATATCAATTGCAAAAGCACTTGCCTCACAGAAGTATTCATAATACAAAGTTCATTTATGTCTACATGCAATAGAGTAAAGTTGCCAACTCAGAGAAAAACAAGTTTTTTTCACTCCATTTGGCCAACTCAGCCTGCACAAGTTTCCAAGTTCTTCCCTCTTGGACAAATCACATCTATGCAGCAGACTCCCACTATATCAGCTATCAACTGAATCCACTGCAGATGCACCTTACAGTTTTAAGTTGTAAAGCAATCATTTTTTTTGAGTAAGAGGAAATAAAAGTTTTCAGCTGACAAAGCATTCTGGTTTTTTAGAAGAGGGATCCCAAAAAAGGAGCTAAGAAACCACACATCAGCATATCCATCCTCAGACACCAGCAGTGATGCAATCACACATACCAACCACTAGATAATCATAATATATGTGATTTAATTCATTCCAAATACAGAAACCAAACAAGTTCCAATATACCTTGACGAAACAAGTGGAAGTGGCTTCTAACTAAAAGGAGATTTAGAGTGGATATAAGGAATTTTTTTTTACGATAAGGGTGGTGAGGCATTGGAGCAGGTTGCCCAGAGAGGTGATGAATGTCTCGTTCCTAGAGACACTGGATACCAGGCTGGATGGGGCTCTAAGCAGCCTGATCTAGCTGTAGATGTCCCTGATCATTGAAGGGGAGTAGGACCAAATGACCTTTTAAGGTCCTTTCAAACTCAAATGATTATGATCCTACCTTGCTTCAAACTTTATTCTGCTGAAGACACCCACAAGGATGTCCAGGTTCATGAGACAGGGTGCACTGCCAAGCAGGATGGTCTCATGCCCATGAGCGCCTAGCGAAACACTGCAAGCACGACAGGATTTACCTCTGCACTCAAGCCCAACCTTTCTTTATTTACATGGTATCATGGAGAACAAAAACAGGAAAAGACTCCTTGCTAAATGCTTCATAAAGAAGGCAATTTCCTCAAAACAGTTTGCTTAAACATTGGCAGTAGATATTATTCTTCTTTTGAGATATAATACTGACATATAAGAACTTAACCTCATCAGAACAGCCTGACAGCATTTCCACCACAAGTTGAGCAAGCAGGAGGGACAGCAGTCACTTTAAATGTGGAACTAAATACTTGAGAGGATTTAAGGGCAAAGAGAAAAGGGAAAAGTCCTTGAACACTGAAGATCATGGCTCCGAAGCTCTGGTGTTGCTCTCTTTGGGCAGAGAGGAACCATGGAAGACTAGACCCTGGGGCCACATGTTGGAGCCATTTCCAGGCCGGCCACATCAGTCTGAAAGCCCCATGTGTCCTAAGAGCGCAGGCACCAAAGCAGGTAGGAATTATCCCTGGAGGATTACCCAGGTAGGAATTCATTCTTGGAGGTGTTCAAGGCCAGGTTGGATGAAGCCCTGAGAAACCTGATGTAGTGTCTGATTTAGGGGTTAATAATCTTGTCCGTGGGAGAGGGCTCAAACTAGATGATCTTTGAGGTTCCCTCCAACCCAAGCCATTCTACAAATGTGTGGCTCTGTTATTCAGTAGCAGCTCAAGAGTTCATGAACAAGCAAAGCTGGAGCAAGGAGGGAGAGGGCTAACATCTCCAGAGCTCAGTAAAAGTTCACTAGCAATGATACCTATCACATCCAAACAAATAACCAAGCAGCTGAGGCCACTAACAACAAGGCAAAAAAACTTACTGTGATGTTCAAACAGTGTTGATAACCTTATATATAGCCAAATAGAGTTTTCCCAGTGATTAACAGTAAATGCTGTAAGCTAGTCTGATTAACTTAAAAGAAAAAAAATATATGGTCTCTATAAGCTGGAGTGGAACTTGGAAAAAACACCACAAACATCTCTGTTACACAGAGACACATGGACTTCTCTTAATAGCAGCAGTGCATGGTTATGCTCCATGGTGTCATACATGCGGTTTGCATTTCAGATATTTCATAACAAATGTTACACATTTAATCTTCCTCTTTATGATTAGCTTTGAAATTAATCATCTTGCAAGCATCCAAAAGTGTTCATGCATAAGCATCTGCCCACACTATGCCCTCTTTAAGCTATTCTTTGTTACAGGCACTGGTGTCACAAGGTCCATTGTGCACTGTGTGAATTACTGATTTTCTCTGACATAGTTTCACACAATAAATCCAGAAAAGGTTTTAACAGAAGTGACTCTTTCAGAGCTCTTCCCCTTTTAAAAACACATGACTTGGCAGTTACATAGCATCTAACTAAACTGAATAGCAAGTGTCAAAAGTTGAAGACTCTCACCTACTTGGGACATGATACTTTTCCTTAGCCTTTGGTTACTACATCAGCCTCTTGATTTTCAGCTAACTGTTAATAACCAGGTAACCTTACATCACTTAAAATCTCCTATCAAAAATGTGTATTTTTTAATTAAATAATACCAGGAATCTGAAACAATTATGCTGCCTCAGAATGGCAGGGTGCACTCGGGTTCATAGATATTCTGTGCATCACTTCTTACCCTTCTTAAAGCACAGAGCATCTCTGATCCTTATGGTTTTTGTTGC